CTTATATTTTCTTTTGAGATGTCTCTTCAAATGATTTAAGTTATTTTTTTTAATTTAAAATTAAGTTTCTGGTTTTTTTAATTTAATTTTAAAAGATTTTGTATACAATTTTTAGTTGGTGACAAAGGCAAGTTTAGGTGTTCGTGAGCAATAATCAACACGTAGATTATGCGATTTTGGGGTCAGTATTTTGGAATGGCAAAGACTCTAGGTAGATCTAAGCCTGCACAAAAAAGCGTCCATAATCAGGGTTCAGCAGACAGTCAAGAAGAGGTAGAAAAAAATGCAGGAAAGAATAATACCATTTCTAGTGGATCAACAGATCTATTGCTGGTCAGGACGTGATAAACGTATTTAAAATGCGGTCTGAAGTCAGCTACGTTACGCAACAATTACCTGCGCAGCAAGAAAACTGACATATGAACTTGAGCTCTTAGGGCGAAGCCACCGATCTCTTTAAGAATTGGCGATAAAATTTGAAGTTTGTAAAAGCAAATCTCAGTCAGGTTCTAGATGACTGCATGAGAGTAAAGAGTAACATTTACAGATTAATCCAATCTGAATTTTCAAAGTAATTATAGCAAAAGGCATGCAAGAAGAATGGTAAACAAAAAATTTGACTCAAGGTACGCAGCAGAGACTGCTAAACATAGTGGAGGTTATGCGATAATTAGAAATGTTATAGGTGGAAGAAATCAATTTCAGTTTTAAAACTGACATCATTTCAACTTTCCTGTAGTTTGCCAAAATAACTGAAGGAAATCCTTGTCCTTATGCAAAAGAGCAACTTTCATTAAGTCAAGAAGAACAGAAATTTTTATTGATTCAAATCCTCCAGTGGAAGAGTGTTACTTAGCATACACTTGGACTTGTGAAAGTCGTTTGCAAGAAAAAAATCAATCCAAAAATTCAAGCATCAAATTTGAAACATGTTAGTTTTTTGACCTCACATTTGTTCTTAATTATTTAAGCAATTTATATAAAACAAAAAATGCTTATTCGTCTAGAAATTTCTTGTTGTGTAATAATTGTTTGTTAATTATGGCCACTAAAAAGCAAAAAAAAAAACTTCACTTGTTTGCAAATCAGTAAAGTAGGGAACAGCAACAAAAGAAAATTCTAGATATCAGTCGTACTATTTTATGGTCAACTGCAAATACTTGTATCATATATGAATGCTGGTTTTACTATGACAGCTGGTTACAAAAAAAAAAATTTTTTTCCCTTTAATAACGTTATAAATTTTGAATTTATTTCAAGCACTGTTACAGACTGTTACTGTAATGTTCAGATTATACACTTTTCAGAAGACTTTATTCGGGAAAAGGAAGAGAGAAGAAAGAACAGATAAATTGTTAGTCATAGAGATACGTATTTGGACTGATGGATAGGCATATGGTTGATCACTGAAGTGATAATAGGGTTTGTTGAGCAGAGTGCACCAATTGTTCAGTGAACAATCGTCTTTTAGCATTTACTATCGATATACTGTATTCGTTGTAAGACCATTTAGGAGACCGATGAATAAGTAGGAAAGACTATGAAAAAAAAATGTGAACAACTGCTGAACTCATTAACTACCTGCGTTTTGAACCTGAGATTGATAATACTACTGAATAAATTTATGCAAAAAAAAAAAAAAAAAAAAAAAAAAAA